AATATTATTTTGCATAAACTACACGAGATTTGACACAAAATGTGTGCTAACATAATAATATATCACCATGTCCAACAAGGTGAGGTGATATATATTTTTCATGTATTTTTTCCTATTAAAAATCAAACAACGGTATGAAACATAAACAAAACCAAACTTAAATCAAGCATTAAATGCGAATAAGAATAATAATCCCATAATATTTCATTTTTAATTTTATGACATCGGGCTAGGAGGAAAAAACCAACCTAAATTTTATGGTTCTAGAGAAATTCCTGCATGTAATTAAATTCACTTAATATTTTTCATATGGTCCATAAAGGCGAATTTGACTCAAGAAGAAACTGTGACGTAAAAACTATAAATTTCTCACTAAATTCCACAGCAGAAGGCAGATTTATTAAGCATTTCGCATAATGATTTGACGTCATCGCTATGAACATTTTACTTGACCATTTACAAGCTCACAAGTGATAGCATATATAATGATTTGGCTTTAGTAGAAAAGAAAACTCATTAGTATTCAATGTTGATTAAATCTGAATAAGTGGGTGTTAATCTAACCAGCATATAGTTTGAATATGATAAGAATTTCTGTAATATTTTGATTAAATATAGGGGACTATTAAACCAGGAACTTATTAAACTAAGTTAGATTTTCAATTTACAAATTAGCGTATTTCCTTTACGGCCTATTTTCAATACTACAAAAAATGAAATAACAATTCATTTATCTTTGTCATTATTAACCAATCTTAGAGCTAACACAACATTCACATGGAAGTATATTGAAGTGGATTTTTTACTTCAAAATGGTTCGAAGCAAAAAGTAGACTGAGTTTTAAGTTTTCTACAAATTGGCATGCCAATTATAGACTTTAAGACTTTGGTTAGTCCAACTTTAACTCGTCATCTAAAGGTATTGACAATATAAATGATTAATAATAAATGGGTTCCTTTTCAAATTCAATCTTGCATCAATCTTAACCTCTAAAGATATGTTTTCTCCAAAAGTTATAAAATAAATACAAAAAGTGTATCTACATTTAGAAGTATAGCTTTTGACCCCTTTTTTGAGCCGTGTATTTTCGCTTTAAGTTTCGCGAGCCAACTCCGAGTTGCAATGCGCTGAAAAGAGATGACGAGCTTTATGGCAGTAGCGGTGGCTATGGCAACTGAAAGAGCCAAACTGCCCGCACATGAGGTTCGCTCTTAGCCCCGTAAGCCCCCGAAAAACCCCCTCAGAGCCCCATGGTACCCTTTGTAATCGCCCCGCCCAGCAGACCCCCCTCTTCGAAGTTTGAAGGTACCTTTCAAGTGCGGGCTGCCGATGTTGCTGCTGCTGCTGTGTTGTTGCTGCTGCTGCTGTGATGTTGCTGCTGCTGCTGCTGGCTCATCAAAAAGCCAAAAGTTGTTGAACGTGAAATTATTGTACGCGAACACGAGCAAATACCAAGGCAGATGTGTGTGTTCGCAAGTATTTATGCACACAGCGCCAGTCGGGTTTTGCATATGTGTTGCTGTTGCCTCTCCAAGATAAACAGCTGAAAAGAAAAAGCTACAGCCAAAGCCAAAGCTACAGATACAGCTACAGCTAAAGCCGAAATGGAAGCATCGCATAGATGCATCAGATTTCGCATTCAAGTGAAATTTATGGCAATAATAAAGCTTAACTTGCGTTCGAGGTAAAAAGATGATGAACTATGCAGAACCGAGTGGAAAAGGCACACTGGAAAGTTGACATTCGTCAGCGTTTCATAGATCATTTGCCGCTGGCAACTCACAATCAACTTACGTACCTCCCAACCATCCCACTTTTTAGACCCCTTGACTTTATGCGGGAAAAAGTTACTTAGTTGCTATCACAGTCTCATCTACACAAATATGCGATTACCTCACACAGACCGAGAGATACAGATACATAGAGCCAGATACTGCAGATATAAGCTCTAAAGAATGCCCGAAGGTAATCGTTCAGTTAAGCTGGTCTATGTGTAAGTACTACTCTCCAAAGCAAATAGAAACTTTAACAGTAAAACACAAAACAATCAAACGCGTGCCTATAGAGAGATATGAATTTAAGCATAAGATTGTTTATTGAAAGTCTAATCTAGCTGATATAATTGTTAGACAATTTCTATATGATATTAGTTAGGGTTCTTATTTCTAAAGAAGGTGTAAGGAATATTATTCCTATTAAATAGGAAAGACAGCCCCCACCATGTTAAAAAACCAAGGAAATTTCCACCTGTCTTTCGATTTCTAATCGGCAATACATTCCTCGCCTATTCTTGGTGTGATATCATTTTATTATCAATCATTATGCTACTATCGACTACACTTTTAAGTTAAACTTTCCGCTTGATAAAACATAATTCTCAAACATATATATATAGTTTTTAATGATAAATAAATAAACTTATCAAAAACTTGAATTCCAGTTTTATAAAGACTTTATGAAGACATTTCTAATTATACGATTCTTAAGATTACCAAATATGGTTGGAGTTCTTCGATAAGATGACAAGTTTTCTTAATTTCGGTGCATTGATGAAGGGAAAGTTCTACCCAAAAATGAAAGTCTGGAGGTGAGAGAGTAAAAACACAAGTGACAACAGGAAGCTGAGATTAAAAGATCCGACAAAATCCGACCCAAATAAGATAAGATCTGTTTGGTGAAGCCAACGAGACGATAATTAAAATTCCTCCAGCTACAAACAATATCTGAGCTGATTGTTGTCAGGCCAACTTCTCGGAATATCCCATTCATTTTGGTTGCCATTTATATCCAATTTTCGGACTACTTGTTCGCTCGATTTTTCTTTTATATTCCATTTTTGTTTTGGGTTCATTAATCTGGAATTGTTTATGGCTCCATTTAGCCAAATAGTCGGGGCTTTTCGGCGGGGGGAACTCTCTACTCTATAGGTTACTGAACCTGCAATACTCCTACTCTCGTTCGTAGTATGTGGCTCGTCCAAAACAAACAATTCCCAGAAATTTCTATGGTCGCAAACCCTCCGTTTTCACATGTATATCGGAGTTGGATGTGTAATCATGAGTGGACTTGTAGGCAAACTCACTCCAGATATATGTATACATGCAACAGGAATCTGTCAGCTCGGGTTTATCGGCTAAGTGAAAAACAACACTCCGTAATTAAAGCGTTTTCCCCCGAATTTCGTCTACCTGGGCTGAGTAATGCAAAATGTGCAACAGATAAGACAAGATAAAGCCCCTAGGCTCTCATTTGCACAGACCACTGACGAGATGGTACTTTTCACCCATCTGAAATTTGATGAAAGGAATTTCAGTTCTCCGCAGAAATTAAACGGAGATTTTCTGAATGGAGCACCGAGCTCGTATCTTATTGGTCTTTTGTCCCGTTGTAAAGGAGAGTGGGTGGATTCGTTTAGGGTTTGATTGAATGCATATGAAAAGCAAATCATCGTCCGATATTCAATGCCAATAGAGCACTGTAACAAATGTGTCCGAAATATCCATAGCAGTAGGAGAGTCTTTTCTTTTAATATAAATCTTTTTATATAAATCGTTCATGCTCCATTATTCTATGGGTTTAAAATGTAAAACATTTTTACAGATTAACTTTTAAATCACTTACTTAGATGTTGTACCAAAGTTGTTATTTTTCGACCAGTGAACACACACAAAATTTGTTCGACTCGGACACAGACGTGGATATGGACAGTTCTTTTATGGTACCTGGACAAGTCGGCAGTGTCCGACCCGATTTCCCCCCTCTTTCGACAATGTGGGGTCTGTGTACCTTTATCAGTGCCTTTTCAGTGCCGGTACCATTCAGCAAAGCCAGAAAACATTCACAAACATTTTTCAGTTGCCGGGGAAATGGTGACCCCGACCCTCGCTGATACCCCCGTACCCGTCCATAAAAGTGAGAGACTGGCACTTGGTCATTAAAACTACTCGCAGAGCCGAAAAAAAGGTTGCTATTTTTAGCAGTGACGAACCGGCAAACCAAAGCAAACCAAACCGATCCGAGAACCCGACAGAATGAGAGGGGCATTTCGATGTAGAGGCACCTTCTTATTAACGCTTCGAGTGTTTACTGCCTTTTGCTCTGCTTTTTTCCTTCCTTTGCGAATGCAATCAAATTAGAATTCGCATTTCATCAGATGTGAGGAATAACAAATGAATTTTGTAGTAGATCACAGTGAGAAATAAATGGCGAAATGGGAAAGCGATTTGTTACAATAATCAAGCACCTGACTTTATGTTCATTTTTGCAATATTGCTATACCTTTTTTGGATATATGATCTTCAAATCTTAACAAATAACATTATAAGCCCTCGTATTAATTACTTTTTTTATATTTCCCAATATGTTATTAACTTTATAGCATTATAAAATCATACTTAAAATTCTTGGAAAAGTATTGAAAAATTGGATTGGATACCAATTCGAAGTTTTTGTCTTTACTGAATCATTTATGAATAATAGCTATCTAGCACCAAATTTATTTTAAATTTTAATAAAAATATAAGTGTGGAAGAGGCAGTGATTTCATATATTTCCGTGTTGCTCTCTTTGCAGTGAATTTCGCCGAGAAGATGCCAATTGATTTTGATTTTCGCAAATTATAACGAGACATTTATATGATTTGATAGCTGGCCAGAAATTCGCAAACAATTCCCGGCGACCAGGCAAGGTCATATCGATTGTCATCAGCTGCTGCCGGCACCCCACCGCCCAACGCCACCCAACGCCACCCAACACCACCCACCTCCCAGCCACCCAACGCCCAACTGAAAAGCAAACAGAGCGAATATGCCAAGCTTGCACAAGCCAAGGAGGTGCCTGCACCAGATGCTAATACTAAATGTACTAATATTTGTTTCCAGTGCAACGACAAGTAAGTAAAGTCTTCCATACACATATGTATATATATTTACCCAACCTTAACACAAGGGAACAATTTAATTTGTATTTATTTATGGCCATTGTCTGGGGATTTTGTCAGCTATTGGTTTAGGACTTTGTCAAATTGTATCAGTATCATCAGGTAGTCCAGTATCGCAATTACGATGCAGAAAAGCAAAACATTGTTCAGCTTAAAGAGGCCACATGCGCTGACGGTAAATATATACTCCACATTCTTCAAATATAGGCCGTAGTAGTGCATCTGAGGGAAAGATAAATTAATAAAAAACCCATGCGTGTTAAGTGTGAGTAAAGATGGATACATAACTTCACACAATATATTTTTTTTTATATGATGCATATGGATGATAAATAAGGAGGTGTCATCAATGAAAGCATAGTAAAAGTTCTTTAAAATGCTACAATCTTTAGTGGTATAATAATTTATTTAGTAAGATTACTCAAAGGTATTTGGCAGTACCATTTTTTAATTGGTATAGTACGTCTTGAATTTATAATAAAGCGGTGTTGGCGGTTCTCTTTGATGAATATTTTAGAATTATGTTTATTCCAAATAAAGTATTCTGAGATATTATAATTCCAATCACAGTTGGTAACTATTTTATGAGGTGCGAATTACTGTCCGCGCTTTCTGAATACAAATTGAAAGTATTAACTCTAATATTTTTTCGCCTTAAAAAAAAGATTAGCATTCGAACTCTTTTTATATGCGTTTAAAACTATTATATCAATTAAAAAGAATTTAATAAAGCCGACGTTTTTTATTTTCTGAATTAAAAGGTATATATAGGTATCTATATCTATATGTTATATATAATTTCCCACTTACTGTGTGATTGAGTTGTTTTACAATGTTTCTGGATGGAAAGTGCAAGCTTCCGCATCTCAGGGTTTCCCTGGTACAGTTAAACCTCCTTTCTGAATAGTAAGTGGGTAGAATTACCAGCAGAAGATTAGCGAAGAGTCCCAGCATAAAGGCAATGGCATAATAGTTTAATGGGAAGTATCTGCCGTACTTTCGCATAATGAACTTGCTGTACTTCATGAAGTACGTGACGAACAGGTGAATCATGCACTCCATGGGCACATATATCACAAAGCAGACTGCCTGAACGCCGTGCAGTGAGCAGATGGATCGATGCAGTTTCAGCAATTGCTGATGAACACGCAGTAATCTCCATAATTCGAGGGCCAACCACTTTTGTTGCGTTTTGTATAGCTGCTGGCGATTTGGCCCGAATCCTCCATTCAGGGAATTTGCCAGAATTTTCCCAGCATCCGCCAGAATCCTGGCCAGCAGCAGATTCGAGTGTCGAACGAGGTGACCCACAAAAAGTAACGCCAGGGTGTATATCCCCAGGGAAAGCTGCAGAATCAGTTGACAGATGTAAACGTAAACCAAACAGCCGGCATACATAAAGTCTTTTCGCACCACGGGATCGTCCACCAGGATCTGAATGGGTTGGGCCGACGAGAGGAAAAAGGAAGTAAGGAGCACCAACACCTTTATCAGGTGTCCCCTGGTGGCCAGACAATCCAGTGAATCCCGAAGTTCACGGGTGTGCATCAGTTTTCTTAGCTTCCTGCGGCATTTGAGCAATCGATTCACACACCAAATGATCTCCCCCTGCTTCGAGCAGTGTATCCACAGGGTGGCAAAGGCACAGACCAGCAGCAGAGCATATCGATTGAAGCCAATCAGTAGCAGAATTCGATTTTGGCGCAGAAAGGACATCCTCTGGTAAATGCTCCAGAAGGTGTAGGGCGAGAAACAGCCCACAAAGATCAGCATCATCCAGCCGTGGATGCGAAAGTAGAGGCTGCGGCTGACCCTCTCGATGCCCCTGGGACTCGAGTTGGCTGTGGCTATTAGACCAAACACCCTGGTCAGCCTGTACAGTAGAGACAGGGCCGACATGCCCAGGAGATGGAGCCAGCGAGCCATCGATGTGATTTGCAACTGCTAGTGAACGAAACTGCTAGTGGGTCTCCCAGAGGCAGTGGCATAATCGAATCACAACCCACTGGCAGCACTCAAGGCAAAGCACTCAAAAAAAATGGGAGACACTTGCCAGGTGACTTTGGGGAATTAAAAAATTATTTTTAAATCCCTTATGTAAAAATGCAGTCTAGTCTTATGAAATATTAAATACTGAATATTTTTCTCTAACTAAAAGAGGTTTCATTGTCTTGAGAATAAGTCATAGCATCATAATAAACTAAAATTTTGTGGTAAAACAAGAAGCCTTACGAATCAAATCAAATAACACAATAAATTGAGGTACAAGAAAATTCATAATTTTCCCAACAAGTGAATTTTATTTTATCCTGACCGAGTGAACTGCCATTCAGAAACGATTTCCATTCATGAAAAATATTTTTGCAGTGTGGTTACGCCACCTATTAGCCTGATTGAATTTCGTTTAGCCAAGGCGTTCACTCAGCCAGATAATCTGGTCAGATAACACACTCAGTGAGCAGCCCAAAAGTGCCACAACAAAAGGGTTTCGCCGATGGATAGATGGATGAATGTATGGATGGATGGATGGATGGAAGGCTGATTGGCCAACAAAACTGGTGAAAATCACATTGGCCGAGATACTCGGATGGAAATTAGGTAACTTGGGACAGCTTATGGTCTGTGGCTTACTTTCCATCGGATTCCGAATGTATCTCACAGATGCCTGCCCCCAAAATCACTCAATTTGCAAGTGGCTTCAGGTGTTTGCATCACCCGTGAATGGGATTTCGTTGGGGTTAAACTGGATTTCCAATCAGTGCCGAACACAGATAGAACTAACAATTTAAATTCCTGAAACAGTTTGGCCCACTCGACTGAAGAGATTCCGTGTTCTTCGTATCTTCATTTTTGTATCTGTATCTGTAGGCCACAAGAGTCAGGACGTTGTCGCTGGATTATTAAAAAAGTTTTTCGCTTTTAAAGAGCCTTTTTTGTTTTTTCCCCCTCTCGCCTTTTTTTTTGGCATTCATGCTACATAAAATGCAAAACACTCGAGTGTCTATATGTGTGAGTGCGAGTTCGTACTTTCATCCTTTATGAAAACTTTCCACGGCTGTTTATAAGTTTCTCACCGAAGAGCCAAAGTGGCAGAAAAAGTGGGGGAAAACTAAAAAAATAGCCCACCATGTATCTACCAGTCTGTGTATGCGCTTTTGTCCTCTTCCTCGGATCTTGTATCTGGTTCTGGCTAAAACCAGGGGGCTCCAGATATTCTATAGCTTCTGGTTCTGTCGCCCGACTCCGAGCCGACTCTATCTGAATAGGCAGCCAAGTGTGCGGTTTGGTTTTTATCTAGGTTAGGTGGCCGGCTAGTCTCAGTTGCTCCGCAGCTCGCCGCAAATTGCAATGAAACATCCTCGTTTGACGGCTAATTCATTCGCATTTTTTTTGAGTACTCTACAACAGCAGTAGGGGAATATCTTTCCATCTCTGGCAGTTCGAAACATCAAGTTGGTTTTCAAGCAAAAATATTTTTAAATAATCATATAAGGTTTCACTAGTCTTTATGATTTCATGTATTTCGGCTTGCCAACAAAAAAGAGCATTCAAAGGGTTCTTTTTTCTTAAGAATCATAATCAAAAGTATTAACATTGCATTCCTTTAATTTTATTAAAATGTAGATACAACTTCTTTCCTCTTTCTAGAAAACAGTTAGTTATAACTACATGTTGACTATAGTGGAATCCAAATTAATTATAAGTTAAGTCAATAAAGAGCATAAAACCTGCGCATAGGCCCGATTGTGTAAATATTTCTGTACCAAAATCAAGTTATGCAGCATTTAAATTGTTTATATTTTTTGGACATGCCTCGTTTAAACCTAACCTCCCGCCGCCAAACTTCAAAGTCGAACTGCGGATTCGAGGGCGGCTGACAACTGTCCCAGCTGTCCCACTGATAACACGACAGCGTCAGCTAACAAATGCGAAAAACAACGAACAAGTAAAACTTTAATTAAATAAAGTGTAAGAAGTTTGTTGAGCTCCTTCAAAGCAGCCGCCGACCCACCGAAAAATCCACCGACCCACCAACCCACCAAACATTCTGCTCCCTCGACATCAAAGTGCAGGCCCAAGGAAAACCGAAAAAGTTTAGTTTTTAATATTCGACAGACTGCCGAGGTTCTTATGCTTAAATCAAGTAGATTTTCCCGGCCAGATATTTACTTTTGTCCCCGGCCAGAACTTGATTGTTTACCCGGAAAAAGGAAAACCGAAGGCCAAAAAGTCAAAGGGCATGGAACACAGAAAGAGAGCAAAATTCCCATTATATGGACGAGTGAAAATGACAAATTAACTTGAACAATGAGGGACGTTTACGATTCGAAGAAAGGAGAAAACTCCATAAAAGAGGAGCCCGTACCAGAGCAAAAAAAAGGAACAAAAAGAGAATTTGCTGAAGTGAATTTAGTCGCAGGTATAGAATATAAAATTAATGAAAGGCAAACACACAGTCAACAATCAATAGCCATAGTCAGTGGGAAAAACTTTAATTGGTTTAATTTTATTCCATTACTCCGCCACTCGACAGGGTTCCAGAGTTCCAGGCTAATGAATCACTTACCTAGATAAGCAACGGACATTGGATCCGATAAGTTGACCTTAATGCATTCAGTTTTACTTTGCTGACCCTGTGAAATAAAGGGGGTTTAATTATAGCAAAGATATGGGGCGAACTTGTGAAAAACATGATGCGAGGTGAGAGGATAATAAATTCAATGGAGATTTTTTTTTTAAGGTAAAAGTTCCATTAAAGAAAAAGTTCACACAAAAGAAAACTAGAGGGGCGTTATATTGGGGGTGAAACATGATTTTTTATTTGCTTTTCATGTATGTTAGTTCATTTTTCCTTTTCAACACTTTTAAGGCTTTAAATAAAATTTATCCAATGTTGTTGAGCTGTAGACCTTTTATTATCTATGTTGCCAGAACTTTTTAAATTAAATCCGACTCTGAAATATACGACTTAAAGCGTAGAAAGATAATTTTAAAATTTTAAGGCAGCAGATTCACCTATGTCAAGGGCTTACATTTTATTTGTACCTCAAAAAGCAACTCACCACCACCCTTACATCATTGTTATTTTATAGTCGTTGAACTTAAATCCCCCACTTTCCCATAAATAGGGCAGCACTACCTTTGAGATGACCTCCATTAGCCCCCCACTTTCTGCCCGCTCCCACTTAAGTACACCTAAGCTGCCCAACTGAGACCCTCATGTTTTATTGACCACCACTAACGGTTGAAATTTCCCCGCCATAATTTCGTTACAGTTGACCAGGAGCCTTTGCCGGATTTGTGTGAGTCGGTTAAATGCCCGCCGGATGGCGAAATGCAATGCCCGGCGGACAGTTCCATACGCCAGAACCTTCATGCGGTGGACCTGATTAAATCGAATGCGGTGGAGTTGCCCCCCGCGGATGACATATCATCGGGGGATTCCGTATCTACATCCTACAATAGAAGTCTGATCTCCGAAGAGGATTATGTCCAGTGCTGTTTGAACCGAAAGTGCGTGTGCAAAACCTGTTACATTCCGGATTGCGATGCAGATTCGGATAATGAGCTAGTGGTGGTGGACCTGAAGCCGGAGAATAGCAAGCAGCCCGGGGAATGTTGCGGCACCCACGAGTGCCGGGCGGAACCCAATTGCACGGTGGTTCGGGACACGGACTACCTTTGGCGGAAGCAGTGCCAGCGCTGCAAGTGCGTATCGGGCCTGAAGATTTGCCACAAGGACTGCGAAGAGAGGTCCGAGGGTGTGTGCCAGTCGAAGAATTCGGAAAGGTTCTACAAGGACGGGGAGACCTGGAGCGAGAACTGCAAGACGTGCGAGTGCGTGAAGGGGGAGCCCAAGTGCACGATGGCCTTTTGCGGGGTCCTCAGCTGCCCCATTGAGCGGCAGTACATGCTGAAGGACTCCTGCTGTCCGGCCTGCTGGCCAAAGTGTGCCCCAATGCCGCATGAGAAGCAGGACGATGAATCATACGGGGATTATGTCGATGAGTCGGAGACACCCGAGACAGATGCATCGGAGGCACCGGAGGAAGAGCCACTGCCGGCACTGCTGCCTGATCCACTGACCACTCAGGAGAGTGCAGAGCTAATAGAATCTAGCACCACCTCGACTACAACCCCTGCTGCTCCATTGGCCGCCAATGTCTATGACCAACCGAAAGTTGTGGAGGTGCCTAGCCAAATCAACTATAACTATATTCTTATGGCCTACTCGGTTGCAGTCTCCATTGTAGCAGTGGCCATGGGCTTCTATATTTACGTGCAGCGTGCCAAGAAACGTTCCTACGATCCGGTCTCCATTCTGGACCACAGCATCTAAGCAAGAGATCTTTCGAAATACTACTAACAATACTACTAAAAAAGAAATGTAATTTAGACATAAGTATTCCGTATTTTCCAACTTTATGTTGCTTGCTTTTTGAGTGTGCCCATGCTATGTGTTACTAATGCGTGAAAGCCGAGCCTGGTCACTCTAAATTAATCAGTTTAATCGCTTAGATAGGAATACCAAATACCTTAGCCTTTCTAATGCCTTTGCCTTTGTTTGTTTGGTATTGATCTCATTTTAACTTTTCACTTGCAACACACACAAAAAAACATGAAACGAATAAAAATCATACGAAAATATAAGCAACGAACTTCCGCAGCAACAAAATCAAAGTATTCTTATGAAATTACGCAAAAATATTTAATTACAAACGAAACAAGAGTTACTATTACTAAACAAACGCAAATGATGTATGTACATACTTAATGCTTTCCCCTTCCTCGGGAAGTCTACTTTTTTAAACACAACATTTGATTTAAGCGAAATATAATACCAAATCATGTTTAGGAGCGAGTAAGAAAATGTATCGAAACTACTCGAGACACGTCTTAGTTTTTAGTTTTAGCTTCTAGTTTAGGAAGTATGTGATATATATGCTAATTAGCCTATGTAATTTGTCAACCAAGGCACGCTGCTGTT